TTTTTTTTTTTTTTTTTTTTTTTTCTCTCTCCCTGGAAGCTAGCTTGGAAGTCAGAAAAAAGTCTAGAAATGGCCATTTTCCCTGGGTAATTGGGACCCAGTTCATCCACTCCCATAGAACTCAGTTTTAGGAGTACAGAATTTAAACATCCTTGAGAACTGAACAACTTATATACTGATGTTTCAAACTGGGCAGAAAGACCAAAAATTGGAAACAAATGCTTATTGACTTCCTATTCATTCACATATTAGGCCAGTCATTTGGTTTAGTTCCGTATTTCACAGTAAGTCAATCATCTCTTTTCCGTGGGTAAGGTAACAGTTACAAGGCATTTATTTTGTTTGACAGTTATTTGGCTTTCTGTATATTACTTCCTTATGTAAAAACAAACTGCAGATGTTCTAAGACAGCAGTGGCCACATACATGTGGCCAGGTACATAAATGTTTCCAAGTTTGTAAAACTCCCTCCCTCCAACTCCAAGGTGATATTTACAAAGACCAGGATTTATGAGAGTGACTCTGCATAATCTTATAAATATCTCTCTGTTCACACTTGATTAGCTCACTACTATGTTCCCTTCCAGGTTAGTGGAGAGAGGACCAACAGGAAAGAATGATTTATATCATTTTATTCCCCTACAGCCATCTTCACTCCTTATTTAGTAGCATTCTCTTGGTAGCAATCGGAGCTACAGATATGTGCTTTCTGCACATATTTCTCTTAAGAGTCGCTTAAATCTATATAAGTTGGCTAGATTTTACCTTAAGCATTGTTTTGTTGAAATGTTTATGTTGTTGCTATTTACATAAGAAAAATTATGATATTGGGACTTGATGTAAAAAATACAGAGGGAGAAATAAATTGAATAAATATTTCTTGCTTTACAAGAATTCATTTAAATTAGTAGAATTTAAAGTATATAAACTGTATCACTTGCAGTTTAACCTAGGCTAACCTGTGAAGTGGAAAGTCAGATCCCATAGTGAGAAAACCAACACACTGTTGCAGATGCATTAATATAGCGGGAGGATTAGAAGTCAGAGGTCTTAATTCCATTTGCAGAATTGCCCTTCTGTTGCCTGGTATGATTTGTGTTTTGAATCTGTGGAAGGATCATCAGTCATTGCTGCCTTCTATAGTTACTAGCACTCTTTTCCAGGTTACCTAAAATCTATACCTCTCCCAGAGGGGTGGTTTTTCCCCATCACCTCCTTTGTGGCCGTAAGTACCGCTTCTTGCAACACTGGGCCTTCCAGGGAGCTTTTCATTTCCATGCTGGCCTGGTACAGGGTTGGAAACCAGGCAAGCTCCATCAGCTGTCCCTAGCTGGGCAGGTTGTGGGCGGGCCATGCAGACAAAAAGAGAGACACCCAGGTGGTTTCATTTTTCTCTTGTATTTATTTTCAGTGCTCGTTGCAGATGTTTGGTGGTTTAGGGTAAGGGTTTCCTTGTGCCTTTTTGCCATTTCTATCAGTGTATAATAATTGCTTGATAAGTGAATGGTGGTCTTCATTACTAAGTAGATCATAATAATCGGCAGGTCGCGCCTCATAATCTAGTGAGTATCTCAGCTGGTACAAATGGGCCTGATTTCACAGTTGGAAAGGGAAAGCTGAGAGAACGGGGCGGGGGCTGCAGGTGGCACGTCTGGAGGAGGTGGCGGCAGCAGTAGCGCCAGCACCACCACCACTCCCACTCCTCACCACACTCCTCTTGTGTGCGTGCGTGTTCATGTTCCTGTTTGTCCTCAGGGCGGCAGCAACAGCTGGATGCCGAGCGCCTGCAGGACTACGTGAACGCTGATCACGACCTGTACAACAGGACCCGCCGGTCAGTGAAGCCTCCGACTGAGAGGCCCGGTGAGCGGCGCCGGGCGGAGATGAAGCGCTTATACGGGGATAGCGCCACCAAGATCCAGGCCATCGAGACTGCAATGCAGCTGAGCTTTGACAAGCACTGTGACAGAAAGCAGCCCAAGTACTGGCCAGTCATTCCCCTCAAGTTCTGAGCTCTGGGCACAGGGACCCTTGGGAATGCCTTCTGAACAGGGTCCCCAGCTTCACCCCCTTCCTTTTGGGTACAGTTGCTGGTACAAGAATTTGAACCCATGACCTTGGTGTTACAAGGCTGCACTCTAACCAGCCGAGCCAACCAGCCAGCTTGGGTACAGTCTTTTCATCTCTCCTTTTGTACGTTTCTCAGGAAAGAGGGGCTTTATACTGAGATATAAGCATGTTCATCAAAGTCCCAGTGGGCCCATCCCAGGGTGGGTGTAATACGTCAGCCACTTGGAAGTCAGCAGGATGTATACTATTCCCAACATGAGAAATTTCCTCTTGACATAAATTGATAATTTTGTATATATTACACTGGCTTTTTATGTTGTCAGTAATAGTGTTCAATTCATTAAAGTTCTTGCCTAGAGCTACTGCCTAGTGTTTTGCCATGTTATATTTTCTTGTCTTTAACCTGCCTGAATTACATAAATGCCTTAAATAAGCCGGATGTCCTCACTAACTCCTTTAGTCCCCACTGAAAATGATCCAAGCTTGAGACAAATACCACATCTCTCTAATGTAGGGGTCACCTGTGTGTTCTATAAAGGGCCAGAGAGTAAATATTTTTGGCTTTGTAGGCCACATGGTCTGTGCCATGACTACTCTGTCTTGTAGTGTGAAACAGCCATAGACAGTAAGGAAACAAATGGATGTGGTTATGTTCCAATAAAACTTTATTTATAAAAACAGGCTGTGGGCTGGATTTGTTCTACAGGCAGTAGTTTGCCAACGACTGCTCTAATGGAATGAAAGTCACCTGTCTGACTTTATTATTGTTACCCTGTTATCTCTACAGAGCTTCAACATCATACAGAATTAAGAGCAAAGAACAAAAATTCCCAAACCTGATCACTTATACAGTCTCTTCTGTTGTAGAAAATGCACAATTGAGTTCTTACTATATATAGCAAATACTGTTTTGATAAGGGAATACATTTCTGAGAATGAAAATGTTAAAATTGATCGAGCAGTCCATTTATAAAAGCCAGCTGCCTTTTAAATAAGTTATTACAGTGCATTGCCAGGGTGAGCTCATGTTGACCTGAGAAGATTAGCACATCCATCAAGGATTGGTGAAAAGATTTAATATTGACATGTTCCTCCCTAAGAACACTTGGCTTCACATTCAGCCCCTGCCTTGAGACAAATACATTACTTTCATCAGCCCCAGGTGCTCGTTTTTCCAAGCTCTCATTTTGCAACTAGAGTTGCAATTTCTGCTTAGGTATTGCAGACAAAAATCAGAATTAACTTTCCTTTGAGGTGTGACACATGACTAAACTTTCAAATCTTTAGTATTCTAAAAACTCATATGCCTACCTATGAAAGAAATGTGACTCAGACACAAACACAAACCAAAGCCTGTACCTGCAGCAGGTGATTAGCTGTTTGAGGGTGAAATTATTTTTTTAACAAAGGACTCTCATACCTTCCCCCAAAGAAACCACCACGCTGGTCTCAGCTCTGCTGGCTTCGTGACCTCAGGAAAATTACTTTCACCTCTCAGCATTCCTGTTCTTTCCTCATCCTTGAAATGGATGTTAATTCCCCAACATGGGGTCATTATGCAAATCACATTGAGTAGTGCCTGTAAAACACTGTATTAGTCTGTTTTGTGTTGCTATAACAATACCTAAGACTGGGTAATTTATAAAGAAAAATGAAATTTATTGCTTACAGTTTTTGAGGCTAGGAAGTCCATCTGGTGGTGGCGACAGTGATCCAGGGGTGTCACATTGCAAGATGTCGGAAGCAGAAAGAGAGACAGACTCTCCTCTTTTAAAGCCCTCAGAACCACACCCCTGACCACCATTTTTAATCCATTCACTACTGCATGATCCTACAATCCAATCACCTCTTAAAGGCTCTGCCTTTCAATTACCATAATAATTTCCCATATTCTTAACAGTCACAGTGGGGGCTCAGTTTCTAGTAAGTAAAACTTGGGGACACAATTCAAGCTTCAGGGAGTTTGGGGGGGACATAATTCAATCCACTACAAACACATAGTGCTGGCCACACAGTAAGAAGTCAATAAATGTTGACATTTATTCCCTGTGTGTAAAAACTGCCAAAAAGAGCCAGTGGGAATCCTGGGTGTAAAACTTTCAAATGTGGCAAAATGTTTCTCTGTCAGCTCTTCGAATGGATGTGCTGGCTTCTGGACGCCTCATTCCCACTCACCCTTCCCAGATGTCTCGTGGATAATTGGTGACAGGAGAGACCCATGAATTCTTCGTTCATTTATTCAGCAAATATTTGAGTCCCTTCCATTCCAGTTAACTAACCTATAGTCTCTTCCCTCGGGGAACTTGCATTCTAGGAGGGGAGGCAGACAGGTGTGTAATGGTAGTAATTCCATCTGTGCACCACGAGAGGCAGCTGCAGGAGCGGAGAGGAGAGACATTAGAGCAGCCCTTCTCAGCCTCGGCACCATTGACATCTGGGATCAGGTTGTTTGTTGGGGGATGGAGACTGTCCTGTGTACTGTAGGATGTTGAACAGCGTCCTTGGCCTCTACCCACTAGATGTCCGTAGCATCCCCACCACCATTGTGGCAACCAAGAATGCCTCCAGACATTGCCAGATGTCCCCTGAGGGGAAAAGGAGGAAGGTGATTGTCAGGGAAAGTCCGGGGCTGTCAAATAGCTTCCCATGTTTGGGAAACTCCAAGTGGTTTGGTGAGGCTGGGGCAGAGAGTTCCTTTGGGTGCTGGCTACAGAGAACGTTAGACTTGGAGGTACTGATCGGATCCCAAACGGTGCTTAACCAATGAGTTTGACCTTTGCCCTAGAGCACTGGAAGGAGGCTGAAAGAATCCTGGTAGGGAAGTGGTGCAGGCCTACCTACTGCAACTAACTAAGGGGAGATACTGATGGAAGGGGGCTGGCAGATGTGACACAGGGTCAGCCCATCGGGTAGATGCCTCAGCTAAACTCTCAGGATGTTCCAGAGAATCCACACCAAGCTATAGCTGCATTCTTTAATAACATGAGCCAGCCTGCTCAAGGTGGACTGTGAGGTCTGACTTCTTTACCAATGTCACCAAATGAGTTTACCCCAAAAAACGTAAAAATGAGACCCACGGTTCCCAGACTGGATTTTTTTCTCTCTCCTTTCTCTTCTAAATCCTATTTTTGCTTCTGTCTATTGGCAACTGTCTGATTGCTATTCTCCCTCATGTGCATGTGATACTTTCACATGCACATGCAAGGCTAAATGTCTCTAGCTCTTTGGCCATTCCTAGAAGAATCTATGAATGTCTTAAATAATAGGATCACGTGGCCTTTGCTGCTGAGGGGAACAGATTGGAGAAGCCAATGGAGGCAGGGAGACCACTGACAAGTCTACTGTAAAAACGATCACCTCACTGGTAATAAGAGAACTGAAAATTACAATGAGTGATATTTCACACCCTTCAGAGAAATAAAAGTTTAAAAAGTGTGAAAATGCCAAGTGCAGCAAGGATGTAGAGAAACGGGAGCTCATGCTGTGGCAGGAGTGTAGTTACATCCACCATGATGAAGAGCATAATGACAGTTTCCTTTAAAGTTGAAACATGTACATGTGACCCAGTAATTCTACTCCGAGGTATACAGCCAAGAAACACTCTCCCGTGTGGACACAAGGAGGTGCATGTAAGAATGATCACTACAGCTTAGTAATAGCAAATAATCAGAAACAAATTCCATGTACAGGACACAGGTAATAAACTATAGAGCTAGACTACATGCATGAAAATGGTAGTATCGAGTTAAAGGGGGATCGTATAGGTCTAATACAGCATTTATACAAAGATTTATAAAATACAGTGGACACATACATGTAGTCTAGCTCAGTTCTCTTAAGGGCTCATGTAGTTTGACATTGTGTGAACATTTTATAGCTCACTTACCTGTTCACTTAGTGTGAACATGGAAATTATTCGCACACATACCAACTTCAGAATATGGTTTAGTGGTTAGTTCTGAGCAGAGAGAGTGTTGGGGTGCCATTCAAAAGGGGTTTTTCTGTCTCTCTAATGTTTAATTTCTTTATAACGGAAAAGCTATGGTAGTAAACCACCTTTGCTGGAGGTCTCTAAATCCATCAAACCTTATTCTGACAACGTAGTTTATCTTTTACTTCATTTCTAGGGATCAATGTTACCTGAAATGTTTATCAAACACTTAGATAGGGCTTACTGTGAGCCACACGCTCTTCTAATTGCTTTACAAGTATTGATTTCTGTAGCAATCAACCTATGACAAACTTATGAGGTAGCTATTATGGATGCACAACCTGTTTTCCAAAATGCTTAGATCAGGCGTGTTTCAGAACTCAGACATTGTTGTACTTTTGAAAAGTAAAACAGCACATTTATAGAACTCATCCCAGTGGGCTGGGGCAGCAGTTTGTCAAAGACAGGTGGACTGTAAAGTGGAAGAATATTCTAAGTTGGACAAGTAAAGATAAATATTCTCAATTCCATACAGGTCAGGTTTTGTCATCAAATTGCCAAGGTCAAGTCAGGTCTCAGGATTTCAGAAATGGCGAAGGGATATTATTCCCATTTTGCAGACATGGAAACTGAAGCACGAAGAAATTAACCAGCTTAACCATGTTCACTTCAAGTGGTGGAGTGGGCTTCAAACCCAGATGTTCTGACTCCTAAGCTCCCCACTTTCCCTTCTTTGGCATGCTGAACTTCATCTCTACAACCATATTCATGGTATGTGTAAAAGTGTACATATGCAGAGCGCAGTGAAGAATCTCGAGCTGGTTGCCGCCCTCAGCGAGACTCCAGCGCACCCCATGCTGGTGCATGGCGTTAGGGTCTAGTTGCACCTCAGCTTGAAGATGCATGACTGTGTATAATGCATGTGCACTCTGTCTAAATTTTATAACTGAGGCTATAGTAGTGATAAGAGGAGACACATTCCAGAAATATTGAGGAAATAGACCTTCTGTGGCTTGACAATCTGGGCCAAATGATGCAACAGTCTAGGATGGCTCAGGTTTCTGTCGTAGATGCTGGTTCTGTTCCTCAAGTCAAAGAAAACAATGAGAAACAGGTTTGGGAAGAAGGACAATTAATTCTGTTTGGGACACAGTGAGTTTGAAGAGCTTGAAGGACATCTGGTAACATCCTGTCAGTCACTGGATATTTGGGTGCTTTGAAACTCAGTAGAGAGGGTCTGTATTAAAAATACAGATCTTTGAGTCTTCAGCTTTAGGAATGTGGAAAACGGGACAGTATATAGACTAAGAGGAATGCAGCAGTGACAGTGGGGCCCTGAAGAACAGTGACTTTAGGACAAAGCTAAAGAGGAATCTGTGAAGGGAACTGAAAAGAAATGGCAAAGACAAAGAGGAGGAAAATCAGGAGGTCAAGGGAAAATTATAAGTGGGCCCACCAGACAGTATGGCTTCTACTGTGATGCATTAGGAAGTTGACTTCACCACGGATAAAGCATTTTTGCAGAAAGGAAAAAGATATGCGTGTGTGTGTATCTCGAAACAGAATCTAATCAAGACTCTACATCTGATTACCAATTCACAGGAAAGTCAGGCAGTAGACTAACATGTCAAAAGACACTGTGAAGATGCCATCAGCCAAATCCAGAATGTGGGAAATTCGATAGGACAAAAGACCCAGGTTCTTTAACAAATGGACTTTGAAAACGCATGTGCTGGAGAAGGGGTGA